GAAAGCGAACGACGACTACGACAACGACGACGACGACGACGACGACGACGACGACGACGGTGGCGGCGACGGCGACGACGACGACGACGACGTCGGAGAAACGCCGCGCGGTTCGCGATACGGGTTTGCCGAGAGGAGTGGAGGGATCGGGAGAGGGAAGGTTCGGTGTTGGACGAGCAAGCGTCAGCGATGCCGAGAGAGCGTGCGAGAAAGGGAGAGAGAGAGAAGGAGAGAGAGAGAGAGAGAGAGAGAGAGAGAGAGATAGAGCCTGAGGAGGGGGAAGGGGTAGAAGCGGTAAGGGAGGAGTTGGCGGAGGAGGAAGAGGTCGGTCAAAGGGGAGGGGAAGCCTGTGGAGGGGTAAGAGAGGCGCGGCGTGGAAGAGAGTAGAGAAGTGGGGGGAGGAGCGGCGACGTTAAGAATACCCCGACGGTGGTCGACCGGCAGAGCAGTTGAGCGTCGCAGTTCGATGCGAGAACATCGTATATTTTCAAGGACGACGCGATATTCTCAATTCCTCGTGCCATAATAGAAAAAACGACGATCCGATTGTTCAAACTGTTTTATGCGCTTGCATATATATAATATATATACGACGAAAACGAATCGCATCAGATCGGTGGCACATTTCGTATTCGAGTGATTTGCTATATCGTTCGTAGTTTCTAACGGTAAGTAAGCTCGAAAAGGACACGACGAGATATAGGCGTGTGATCATAGTGGTGAAATCGTTAGTGATCGGTGCTAGGCAAAGTGAGATAGGCAAAGTGACGAATAGATATATCCTGGTCGATTATTTTTAACATCGTATCATAGAAGGACGCGTAAAAAAAAAATTTAAAAGAAAAAAAGAACGACCGTTCTCATCTTTCCGCAAGTAAATAGCATCTTGTTCCGATGAGGGGGGATTCAGCGAGACCGGGTAAACGGCCGCTACGCGCGCTCTCGGCGTCTGAGAAGATGGAAGCGATACAGAGGGTCCACGAGGGCGAGAGCAAAGCCTCTGTAGCGAGAGACATTGGGGTACCGGAGTCGACTCTCCGTGGATGGTGCAAATCCGAACACAAGATACGAGGAATGGCAAGGAATTCCTCGACGCCGGACAGCGAAGTACACTCGCCGGCCTCGTCCTCCGGCACGAACAATATTAATCCTGGAAACATACCCGCTGGTGGATCAGCCAATGTTTCCAGCGAGGACGAGAGCCCGTGCGCTAAAAGGCCGAAACTGGATCAACAAACGTCGATGACGGCCACCGGTAGTTCGGCGTTCTTAACCAACGACATTTGCCTCGACATGAACGACGGCAAACAGTCCCAACATCAGCCTGACAACAAACACAAGATAGATTACGTCGGGCTGATGACTAGCATGGCCAATATGAGGCCAGAAAACAGTTCGTTGCTCCTTCAGCAACTAGGCCTTTTGTCAGGGGCAACCGGTAGCCTGGCAAAAAATCTCCTTGGAATGACGGCGGCGGGTCTTTCGCACGGTAGTACCGTCGGCCTCGTCGAGAATGGACTGCAATACACAAAGAGCACCGCAACCAATATGCTCGCTGGATGTAACGGCGGCGTCGGGGTTATTAGCGGTGGTCTCAGTGGTGTTAGCAGCAATAACAGCGGCAAAAGGCACAGCATCTCTGCGATAGCTCCCGCGCAGATGGACTCCGTCGCCAAATCTTGCACGAGGAAGATTTTACCACCAGCTGCGGAGGCACCCTCGACTCCCGTTCCTGCTTCCCCAAGAAAAACCAATGATAACGTTGGTAGCAGCGGTAGCGGTATCTGCGGCATCAGCGTACAACAGCGTACAAAGGCGAAAAAGGAGAACGTTGCTACTGGGCCCGGTATCTGCGGCAGCTCGTCTACCGCAAGCAATAACAAGAGGATCGACGATGCCCTATGGCTGTGGCTAACGCAGCAACAACAACTCCTGGGACAACAGTCGGCTACATTTAATCCAAGTATCAATCAACAAGACGGCTCGTGGTTTTGGCAATGGTACAAGCAGTGCAGCTTTCCATTGCTCGCGTCTACGCAAACGCCGACGCCTATCGCTGCCAATAATACGGCTCCCAGAAGATCACCGAGCAGAGCTAAGGCCCTTCTCGATAATGTTCTTTCCCACAATTCCCACCACCACCACAACAACAACAACAACAACAACAACAACAATAATAACAACAACGACTTGGAGAAGGCGAGGCGCGGTTTTAACCATGAGGAGGAAGGAATCGATTCCGTCGCAGAGGACGTGCCACGCAGTTCCGAGGAGGCGATCGAGCACGCCGAAAAGTTCCTTAGGTGGCTGGATAGATGTTCTGAACCCTCCGTCACGAGGCTTCAGGTCTTGCAATTTAAATATCTCTTGGACAAATTGAAGGCGTGTAGAAAGAAATCGCCTAGTTTAAAGCATAGCAGAAAGTAGGCGAGAGCGCGGCACTCTGTGATGCTAAATATATAATCTTAAGAAAGAATGTATGTGTGTGCGTTTGTGCGTGTGCGTGCATTGAGTGTGTAGGGGGAGGGAGAGAGAGAGAGAGAGAGAGAGAGAGAGAGAGAGAGAGAATGAGAGGGAGGGGAGGGATAGCGAGAGGGAAAGAAAGAGAGGGAGAGTAGGAGCGTGTAAAGGACGCGAGCGCGCGCGACGAATCGAGTAGAACGCGAACGGGGACCGCGATGGAGGGTGACACGAGGTGGGGAGGGGACGGTGGGTGGGGGGAGGAGGGTGTCGGACGCGCGTTGGCAAAGAGACGAAGAAGGACGGATTCCAGCTTCTATTCCGCGAAGTCCCATTCGGCGAACGGCGACGATAAGCCCTCGCGCGCCGATAGCTCGCGGCTTCTCTGCGAGCGGTTGAAACGAACGAGAGAACGTAATCGGAGAAGTATATAATATAGAAAAAGAAAAGAAAAAAAATAAAGGGGAAGAGAGAGAGAGAGAGAGAGAGAGACAGAAACAAAGGTAGACAGGAAAAGAAGAAAGACACAAAGAGTCGTCCAAATGAAATAAGATGAAAAAGGGAGAGAATAAAAGAGAGAAAGAGAGAGAGAGAGAGAGAGAGAGTTCCGTACACCGCACCGTTGCAGCGGCGTGTGCCGACGATTCGTGTCTCGCTCGGTAGTAAATAATGCCATGTGTAAACGTGGTTACGCTGGCTCGGGGGAGGTCCTCCTCCGTGGAATAGCACATGCGCTCACAGAGAGTAATAAAGAACTTTTTTATGAATGAAACAACTCGGTCGGCCGGTCCCTCTGCCCCACTACTCCGGCGACGTCGGCGGCGGCGGCGGCGGCGGCAGAACGGCACAACGAGAACCACCACGAGCTGCGCCTCCTCCTCCTCCTCCTCCTCTTTCCCCCTCCTCTTCTTCTTCTTCTTCTTGCCTCCTCCACCACCACCATCCTCCGCCACCACCACCACCACCACCCCCTTCGTCACACAGCGGCACTAGCGCGAGTAAAACGGCTCGACACGTTGCTGCTCCTCCGCTCCTCTCCTCTCCTCTCTTCTCTTCTCTTCTTCTCTTCTCTTCGCGACCGCACACGACACACCAGCCAATCCGAAGTACGCGCGGGAAACGTTATTATTGCTGCACCACGAGGAGGAACGCCGGTCGCCGAGCGTGGCGCAAGCAGTCGGAAAGACAGAACGAAACGAAACGAAACGAAACGAATATAAACCACCTCGCTTGCCTTTCTTCCCTGACACCATCATCATCATCTTTCTCCTCCTCCTCCTCCTTCTCCTTTACGTTTCTTTCTACTTACGTCCTTATGATACTTTGTACCAGACCTCCTCCTTATTCCCCTGTACGCAACCTTTTCTTTTTCTTCGTTTTTTTTTTATGAAGCGAACAAGCCACGTACGTACACTCTTGTTCTGCTTTTTCTCTCTCCCTCTCTCTCTCTCTCTCTCTCTCTCTATGTACACCATGTTGTAACACTCTGTTCGTTTTCGGAAGAAACGCGAAAACAAAAAAAAAGGCCGAAAGAAGGATGGGAGGAGGAGGAAGAAAGGGACGAGGAGGAGGTGGTGGTGAAGAGACAGGAGACGGCAGAGAGATAGAGAAAATGTTAAAAAGATAAAGAAAGAGAGAGAGGAAAGAAAAGAAGACACGCGCGCTCTATACGAAAGGACGGGTGTCAAGGACAAACGGGCGATGGCGCGCGCGGACTCGCTTCGTGAATCTCTCGATTTACTATCGCACGTTCTCTCTCGCTCTACCTCATCCTCCTTTTCCCTTCTGCTCCTCTCTCGGCCTATCCAAGAAGCGTAACGCGATCGCCAAAGATCCTCGAGGCGACGTAAATTCTTTTCTCTGTTCTTAATATTCTCTCCTCGGTCGCGCTCCGTCACGCGACGCTTCTTTTTCCTGCGCTTTTAAACTCCTTCGACTTGCGTACCTTTTCTTTTTCTTTTTTCCTCTTCTTTGGTTTTATTATTTTCTTTTTCTTTTTTTTTTTTTTTTTTTTTTTTTTTCTTATATATATATATAACGCTTGGAGGAGGCTCCTAACACGATATAAACGCCGTTCGTTTTTTTTCCTTTTGTTCTTATTGTTAACGATCCGTCTTTCGAATAATTAAATGTGCACTACTACACGCTCGTTTCTCCACTTAGTTACCTTTCCCTTAGATAATCGGACCGAAATCAAAATACATCTAGATCGTAATATGATCCGTTTATTCCCTTTCTATCGAAAGATTGTAAATAAGAGAATATACCAAATTTCCTGAATATGGACTGTTGTAATTAAGATTTAATATGATATATCGATTCTCTAGACAAAGTATTATCGATCGATCTATTGTTTATCGTTCGCTTAACATGTAAGTTTTACATGCGTTCTACGTGAGGGTGCAAGAAAGAGAGAAAGAAAAATCCTTGCTCTCTTCCAAATTAAGAGAACTAACTGTGAATGACTTCTCGAAGTAGATAAAAAAATATATATATATATATAAAAAGAACAAACAAACAAAAAGGAGAGAGAGAGAGAGAGAGATGATTTTTGCAAATCGATCGTTTTCGTCGAGGCTCGTCGTAACGATTTCTGACAACCTACAATCTTTCGATGCAAAACTATATATATATATATATAAAATAAAAAAGTTGTTACTTTTTCGAATCTATGGACAAACACATGATTTTTGTAGCGAGCGTTCTCGCAACGATTCTACCTCTCGTTTTGTTAACGGGTTTTTTTCTTTTCTTTTTCTTTTTTTTTTCTTTTACTACTATTCATTTTAAGTTCGTTAATAAAATAAACTATGTTTATATATATATACACATACAGACATATATATATATATATATATATATAGATATATTTGCCGTCTCGGCGAGAAAGAGAAAAAATTTGTTAAAGAAAAAGAAGAGAAAAAGAGACCAGAGGCACGAAGGGGATCTCGCATCGCTCGGCGGAATCGTTATTCGCGCTTACGTAGCTTTTTATTAATAAAAAAAGAAAAAAAGAGAAAAAAAGACAAGAAAAAGAAAAGGAAACAAAAAAAAAGAAAGAAAAAACAGTTAAAGTGTTTTTCAGATTTTTCTTACCAATACGAGATCCTCCTTGCCAAGTGGCTCGTAACTTATGTAGTCGCTAACAAATTTTGCGCATCCCTGCCACGTGTACAGTTCCGGATATGGCAGTGTACTTCGTCTTATACTCGTAGACACAAATTTCTGCACAAGAAAAGCGATATTATTGTCATCGTCATCGTCATTATTATCATTATTGTCATTATTATTGTCATCGTTCATTTTTATGATTATTATCTTCGTCGCCGTCGTTATCGTCGTCGTCGTCGTCGTCGTCGTCTTCGTCGTTATCGTTATCCTTTAAAACACACCACTTTGTGAATTTGTTTCATATTTTCGCACCACATCGTCACGTGCAAGATCGTTCTATATTCTTTTTTGTTTTTTTCCCTTGTATTTTTCTTTTTCTCTTTTAATTAAAAATACGTAAAAAAAATAAATGAATATACATGTGTATATATATATATATATATGTATGTTTTCTCTTAACGATGATCAATCAAATTTTTAATATTAGACTCGATCGCTCTTTTTTCGATAATTGAATAACAGAAGCCGGCGATCTTGCGAGCGACGAAGTGTATTTATAGAAAAAATGAAATTAAAAGAAAATAAAAATAAAAATATACACACTATATAAACACACGAGCATGCGCGCGCGTCCGTGCATACATATGTACATACACGATAAATAAGAAGAAACCAAAGTGAAAAAAGTGTCGTTGTATAATGGGCGGCACATGTAAATAAGACTGTGACCATGCACTCGCACGCGAAGAAAAAGTGCATGCCATTGTATTGTAGAACGTTTAAAGTATGTATGAATAAATGTATAGCGAAGTTTATTTTTATTATTTAGATTGTAGAGAGAAAGAGAGGAGAGGAATGCTCGGATGTAATAGAAAAGATTCCTATAAACTAATAAACACGGTTACATATTTCCGTTAGTTGAATTACAAAGATATGAGAGAGAAGTAACGAGCATGTAAGTGACAAAGAGAGATAGCAAGATAGAAAAAGAGAGAAAGAAAGAGAATATTAGAGAGGATATATACGTTATAATATATCGAGAACACACGTATAAACATTCCTCGTCATCTTATATATATATACACACACACACACACGCGCGCGCGCGAGCGCACGTAAACATGCGTGCCCGCCTTTCAACGCGACTTTCAGCAGATTTTAAATAATAACAATAATTTTATTTATGAACACTTTTTAATTTTTATATGGAGAATGCCTTTGTACGACGAGTCGAAAGTATTTATCGAAAGAATACACCGAAGAATAATAAAACACGTGTCGCACGATTTTTTACCGATCCTTTAATCCGACAATGAAACGGAAAAGATTTTCATTCGATTGCCATTTTCTTTCCTTTAAATCGTCTATCGAGTCTATCGTATCCTGATTCAAAAGAGGATTCTTTTGACTCGCATATGGCTTCCTCCATTTGAAACTTTGCACGCATCAATCTTACTTGTGATTTATAGTAGATCCTCGTATAACACTGTATATATGTTCCATTATCGTTTTCTTTTTTTTTCCCCCAATGGAGATTAAAATCCAATGAAGATTTTTAAGATGATCAAATTATGAAACACTTTTGCACAGTATTATAAGATTCTTTTTTTACCGTAATATGCGAACACAAATGATACATTTTTGCGTAAGAATTATATTGTACTCGATTGTTTTTTCTCTTTTGTTGGTTTCTTTTCTTTTTCTTTTTACGAAACAATCATTACATATTTCGATCCTTTTAAAAAATACACACTTTTCGTCTTATCACAATACAAATTCTTTATTATGAAGGCGCAAAGACTGAATGCGAATAATTTAATGAATATATATATATATATATATATATATATATATATATATATATATATACATTAATTCGAAAATATTAATTTGAAATTTTCAATGCCACCTTTAACACTAGATTTACTACTAGTATATGTATGTATGCATATGACATACACATCCATACACACATAAACATACAGAGCGTTCCAAAATATAAGTGGGAAATATTTTAGAGATGACATTTAAACAATAAAAAGAATTTATATAAACATATATCCTATTCGAATTCCTTTTCAAGAATACAAACCCGCAAACGTCTTACAAATGATTATCTTTTTACGCTCTCCATATGTTTAGAACTTTTTCGGATTTTTTAGAAATTTCGTTCAATTCTTTCAATTCATCGAGCTTCATCCATTTAACGAAACAAATATTGCAATACAATAATTTCTTATTACACGAAAACAAAGTCAAATAGGACATACGTTTATGTGAACTTCACTTATTGTTTTGATATGTCGATGTCACCCCTAAAATATTTCCCACTTATCTATAACTAATACAATAATATATATATATATATATATATATATATATATATACACATACACACACATTGTATGTACACACGCGCACATAATAATAAAAAAGGCATACTGCCTTGAAAAACTTTGCAATGAAATTAAAAATGAAAAAAGTTTCATTGTGATTGAAGTTGGTAAATCTAGTGTTAATACGCTAAGAAAAAAGTCATCAAATTTTAGTATTTACGATAATTTAATACATATTATATCCTTTATATAGTATTCCATCGTAATATCGTAGTTTGATCGATTGAAAGTTTCATTTTCTACAGTTTAATCAATGATACGATTATAATAGAGGAGGAGTGACGATTAATCTTTACAATACAAAAACTGTTCGAATCGTTGCAATTTGATGCTTTCAATAATTACAAATTGTAATTTGTGAAGAATTTATGCGTGCTAATATGTTACGAGGATATATCGAAAGATCGTAAGTATCAAATTCAATGATGGCAATGATAGTGACAACGACGACGACGAGGAATTGTGCGTGAATTTAATAGTAGATTTGAAATATATTGAATCGAAAGATTTGATATCTTTCGATTAAGAAAGATTAAAATCGGGATATATACCGTAAAAAAGAAAAAAAAGAAAAAAAAACAAACAAAGAAAACTGTAATTATATCATATTAAGGATATTTGTGAAATACGAAATATATATATATATATAATATGTATAAAATTTGCAGATGATATAAATTAATAAACGACATTGTTTGGGTGTCATCAAGATAGTCATAAAAATCATGTTCCATATTTATTGGATATTTCGTTTAATAATAATAATAATAATAATAATAATAATAATAATAATAATAATAATAATAATAATAATAATAATAATAATAATAATAATAATAATAATAATAATAATAATAATAATAATAATAATAATAATAATAATAATAATAATAATCATTGTTCTTACCTGCACGCCACATTCATTTTCACATGCCAATAAAATAGGCTTTCTATCCTTGTATTTAGTATGGAATTGTCTTCGAAAATTCTCAGCATACAAAAGCAATAACCTTTCCTTATCATTGACACTACAATAACTATCTGGCAAAGTTGACAAGTATACGTCTTTTCTAATATCCTTCTCGGGCCAACATAATTGAATTAAACCCAATTCTTGTTGAATTTTTTGTAGAATTTCGCGTGTAATTGGGACGGCCGTAGGTTGATATTCAACTTCGATAAAATCCTCCTCTTCCTCGTATTTATACCTTTCCTCTTCATCTTCTTCCTCCTCACCGTTGTTGTATCTTTTCCAGTCTATCGACTCGGTGTGAGAAATGGCGGTCGGAAGTCGAATGGGAATCATTGAACTTTTTATAATTTCCGTTTAATTTTATTTCTTCATTTATAGAGAAAGGAAAGAAAAACGAAAAACTTCTCTCGTCTCGTTTATGATATAATTTTCGATGACAGAAGAAACACAAGCTACGAAAGCAAGAACTGTTATTTACTAAGTTCGATTACCGGCACGTGCTATTGCAGTAGTAATAATATGATTTGATAGAGAACTCGAGGACTCAATTGCCATGTAAACAAACTTTATCGTCATGACAGCTAAGTTACTCGAATGATTTGAAAGGTTTCGTTAATATTTTAACCATTCACCCGATGGCACCAGCTGTCGATCCTATCATCTTTTACGTATTACTAAAAAGTATACTTTACTCTGCATTTACCTTCGTGGTAAGAGAAGATCTACATATATACATATACATATACATATTTGTTTCTTTTTTTTATTAGAAAATAAACGTATCTATTTAAAGATTAAAAATAAATTGTAAAAACTCGTTTACAAAAAAAAATCTGGTTTATGAAAGTATGAGAATATATCACTTGTATCGAAATATTTTCATCGGTCGATAAAACATTCCATTTATGCATATTCCAATTTTTACCCATATATATTTCGTTAATCTTAAAATTATTTAAACAACCTTCGTGGATTTTAACGATTTTTGTGAATTTTACAATCTTTCTTATATATATATATATATGTATAGATACTTATATATATATTTATTTATTATATATATATATATGTATAGATACATATATTCACACACACACACGCGCAAGTATATATTTATTGTTCTTTTTAATGAAATGTTTATACGTATTATCATTATTACATTATCGACAGATACATACTAGGAAGAAGAGCAAAGAAACTCGAAATTCATTCGAAAGTCGAATTTCAAAATGTGCAAATTATCGAAATAACAATTATCTTTTTTGCTCAACGATAAGAAATCCTAATATATTTGAATGAAGAATTATAATGTGATATTAAGCAATATTAAACCGTGAATAGTATAGATCGTTTTATTAATAAAAATGTTTAGATACATGTTCGTATAAAACATACACAAGATTAGAACAAAAATACGCAGAAGCAGCAAAGTGCAACTATTCACGATATCGCGTATATTTGATTTATAATTTATACATATTATAAGAAATTACGATGGTATTGCAACATACAATAAAATTAGTGGAACTGAATATGATATATCATCATCACTTCTGCGAATATTGTGTATATCTTTTCCATATTAACGATTCAGTGTGTTAACTTCCCGTATATTTTCTGTAGTATATATTTTTAAAAGTGATCTCTTTTTTATGAGACCAATCGAATTATTCTACTCGTAAGTAGATTGTTGAATGATATGTTTGGCTAAACGGCACAAATCTAAATTCGTGCGAATGATGCCAATCATACATATACGAATATTTAAATTCTTGAGTTTTCTAGTTCTGCGTCATGGATCAATATCTAATAACATAAGTCAAGTACGTACATCATATATACGACGAGAAATTTATTATTTTTTACTCTCTCTCTTTTATTTCTTTCCCTTCTCTTTTTCTTTTTTTGTTTTTTTTTTTTTTGTTTTTTTGTTTGAGCGAGATTTATTAATAATTTATTAACAAGATCCTTTTTGCAATTCTTTTGAGAAAATTCTAATTTATATCATGAGTATCTTGCCGCCACTTTTGAGCTGCTTCCCTTCTTGCATCGGGCACCAATTGGGAACGCATTCCTCCTAAAACATTGCTCGTTGCTTCAGTGGCAAGAATAATGGGTTTGACTACTGTCGGCGGTATCTGTCTAAGTACACCACCCACCGCTCCTGATACACCTTTCTGTTCGTGTTCCTCACTTGCAACTCGTACCAATTGATTAGCAGTTTCACCAAGTCCCTGTATATATGTGTATGTATATATGTATATGTATATATATATACATATACACACATATATTTTATCAAAAAGAAATTTTGAATCAGAAAATACTTTGAAAGCCCAAAAATATTAGAGACAACATCTTAAACGTAAGCAAAAGTAATTTTTAATTAAAATTTGCATACCTCTTTAACGAGCATATAAGCATTTGCCATTCCTTCACGAATATCCTGTGGTTGACTATACCTTTTTCTGCGGCCCTTTTGTCCTCTTGATTTTCGACGTACGCTAGGTCCTGGACTGACCATGTCGTATGCCGTTTCGGCTGTGCTCTGTATGGCATATACAAGTCTAGATGTTAGCTCCAATGCTGCCATAGCCGTGGATGTGGTGAAACTATTCGCACCTCTTTGCAAGCCACGAACTATCCTTCCATCTTTTTGATACTGCTCTATTGGTAACCAGAACAGATCACGAATTCCTTGAACTGTTAGGAAATGTTAAAGTGCTAGGATTTTCATTTACTGCATTATTTTCTTTTTTTTTTGTTTTGTTTTTTTTTTTTTTTTTTTTAATATCAAAATTTCAAAGAACAACATTTCCAAACTATCGAATAAAGTAATTTGTAAATAATCGAATTCATCCATCTAATATACAGTATGATTTTATTTAGATCGTTTGTCGTTTCTTTTATATACTTACACAGCTGTACCAACGAGTGCATAGGACCAACGCCTCCAAGTAAACTAGGCAATTGATTCTTCTTTATGTCTTGCAACCATTCTGATAATAAAAACGTTACGAGTTTGTCAAAACCGAGGAGTCCGTGTCGATGCGTCAATCTTTTCAGTCTTAGCTCAGAGCAGTTCAATTGCGCCAAACCCATCAAAAGCCCGGCTAAGGGCCCATGAGTAAGATCAACGCGTTTCCCGTGGTAATCTAATCTAACCAGAACCTCGGGTGCAAATATGACGCTCCTAAACATTATCGATGACATTTAATCCACATATGAAATTAATTATAATTTCTATTCAAATAATTGTACAAGAACTTACCTAAAATATATCGGTTGACAATCTTCACGAACTTCGTGAGTCGTCTTTGGCTTCGTTTTGTTTTCTTTAATTGTTAATTCATCCTCCAAAAGTATTAGCAAATTTTGATCTATCGTATTATTTTGCGGTATATTCGTTGAAATTTGAACATTAGGCATTGTAGTTGAATCATTTATGCTCATAACAGGTGGATGATGCGTTGGTGTTCCTTGTTTGGATACCGGAGAAGATTGAGAATTATTGCAAGCGGCTGAATTATCAGAATGTTGCTTCGATCCGCCTCCTAGCTCGTTAAAAAATTCAATCAGAAATAATAGACTATCCTGATCAATATTTAGGCGTAGTGGCAGTACGCTAAGCTTCAGACAGCATTCTTGAGCCGACAGTCTTGGATCTGGTCTTATATGAACAGCTTTCATGGAAAACATATTTGCGTGGGATTGCCTAGGTTTCGCTTCGCTGCTATATTGATATAAGAATTTGTTAATGTGAGAAGAGGCCAATCTATCCCTAATTTCGATCTCGTTGACCAATAAAATTTGTCTAGATGCTTCCGTTGTATTTTCAGGATAAACTTCGTGTTGAAAGCGAACTTTATTTAATTGTAACTCCATTAATACGTCGTGCTGACGACTTGGGCCACCAGATGTTTGCCAATCTATCAATGTTTCTTTGGTTCTTATGCGTGGTGAATTCGGTACGCTACCAAAACGAACTTCGTTTGGACTAATTGTAGTGAAACCTACACTGGCAACAGAACGACTTCTGTAAACAAAAGAAAATGAATAATCGCATTATTAATAATGTTCCTTTCTAAATCAATTATTAAATTCAATGTTTAAGTTTTCAATCTATACCTTCCTTGCACACGCGACGTATTATCATTAATGGTAACATGTTTCTTTGCTACCACCTCAGAATTTTCAAAATCTTTTCCTCCGTACATATGCCAAATCAATGTCATTTCGCAAAGCGTATATCTTAAGACGGCAGCAGGATAATGTCTAGGAGCTTTCAATAAATCAGTTTTACCAAGAGGAATAGAAAAATGATTATCTACAATCCTTAATGACTCCTCGGAAAGCCAACGAACTTCGGGTATTCCATGTCTCGGCATAATCCCGGCACCCGCTTCTTCACCTAAGATACAAAAATCTTCATCCGCATCTTCTGTTTCACTTTCGCATATTGTTTTGACACAATCTTTCGCATTTGAACATATTTCAGGAATAATTTGAGACCCAGGACGTGATTCATCAGGAAAGAAAAATACTTCGACTTGACTTTCCTTCGCTGGCGATTTTTCATCTGCATCTATCGTTGTATCTTGAAGATAGTAATTAATTATATATTGCACAAAAACGAATGAGTAATAGCGATAGATATTATTAAATAATTCTACCTTTAACTGTTTCTTCCATTGCTTCTTCCATTAAACTGTTCACTCTTTCGACTTGACTTTTACTCAAAGTATTGATACTCTCATCGCCGAGTAAACTTTCTTCATCCCCTGAATTAGGTACGGCTATATTTTCTGTACTTTCTGTGTTTGACGTTAAATCACCATCACTGGCAAAATATGTAAGTAATTGTGTTAAAGCACGACCAGAATCTGAACATGTGCGCACATGTAATACATTGTTGCTTGCTCTCAAATCCACTCTTGGCGCTCCTCCGCACATTTTGTCGTTCAATCTTAATGATAATTCAAAAAGACCTAGATCCATTACACATACATAATCTCTTTTCAAATCTATATTCTTTCCTAATTTATTGGATATAAAAAGTCCAATATCTTCTGCTATAAATCGCAATGTCGAAGTGCTTGTCTGTGCTGCTATATTACTAGACACACTAAAATTACCAAGAGTCACCACCGATCTTAATGGCAAATGTAAAGGCCTGCAAATCACATCTATTTAATATATCTCCTCATTTGTTACTATCAATAACGTTTTACAAATATTTTTATCAAGTTAAAGACCTGTAATCTACTGTGCAATCCCAAAGATGTAAGTGTAATTCTGTAAGAATTCCTGGTGGGGAATATCCAGCGACAGGATGATCCGCGACATCTAAACAATCGGTAAACTGTGTAAACCATGATGTTGCAGTTGAACACATTCTATGCCTCAAGGTAGCATTCCTTATACCAACTGCTACTCTGAAAGTCTATAAAGAATATTTATATTCATGTATCCATGCAATATAATCCAATGAAAATATATAATAAAGTAAAATATATATTATATAAGAGTACTATTATATTTTCGAACCTTTATGCGATGAGTTTGATGTGCAGCTTGTATACGAACAGCCACAGTTACCATATCTTTATTGCAAGAATTTGTTGTTACATTTGCACCTGGCTCACATCTATATATTGCTCTTTGACAATGCCTCGGTATAACACTATTTATAGATCTCAATGGTGGAGTTTGTGAAGGAATTGTTGTCAAACCACAATGATTTAAAGATGCATTTTTAATCATCGCACAAATATAACCCATATTTATATTCCCTTTATAAGCGGTAACAGAAAATATTGTAGCATCCTCTAAGCGAAGTATTAGTTCACCTTGTTGGCCGGGAATAACATTGCGCATAGAATCGCGTACAGGTGTGTACATAGTCAAAAGACCTTGATTAATATTCAGTGTCAATGCAAGTTTACTTTGCCCATTCTTAGATGTTTTATTTGCTTGTTGTTTATAACTTCTATCTGCTGTAGAATGGAATATACCTTCCTCGTCTGAATCGG